CGTCGAGTAGACTGGTGCTCTCGTCTCTGTTCCGGTCCTAGTCGTTCGAGACACGACGCAAGAGGAGCATCACCCGTTGAAGAAGCTCAGCGGTTGTCTTCGTGTGCCCTCTGTAGATTGCTTCGAGTAGACCGCAGCAGCCCTCCAAGTCCCAATGAACGACCAGCAGGGCAGGTAAATGTGGGACAGTCCATAAGTGTACAAGGGGTCTGGCGGCTTTCGTCGCCCCGCCCAATAGACTGATTCCAAGATACGGGATCAGTGGTATGCATACATTGTAGTCAGCATTCGTGGCGTAACGATTTATTGAATATTCCAAAAGAAAAGATCGGCGCAGAAAGAGAGAGGGCGTACAGTAGACTATCCGATAAAACATGAATATGAAGTAGATGGACGGAGAGTGGTCGTGCTGGCGGCTTTCGCCGCCCCGCTCAATATTGTACAGACCTTGGCAGTCAGATTTTCGACGTTTCTTATTCATCTTGCGTCACCCCTTTTTACGACACCAACGACCACGGGTTGGAGTACAACGGCGCTAAATAGTGCTGTGAGTGCTGATTTGAAGTGAAGAAGAAGAAGAAGAAAAAAACGACTGTGCCCTCATGAGCCCACTCCGGAGGGTAACCACATAGGCACCCTTTACCACTAACATACAAATCGACATCGGCACCACACGTAGTAGAGTCGGGGAATACAGTCAAGACGAGCAGCGAGGTCTCTTGCTTTCTATCCGCAGGAGACGGAAAGGAATAAAACGACACATATGTCTACGTACCATATGACACGAAGAAACAAAAATAAACTACATCCTATGATATTTTTAGTCTCTGCACATAAACGCATACGGATAGATTCCTCTGCATCATTTCTGTAGCATAAAAAACAAAACAATCAAGACAGAAGAGACAAGAAAGCAACAACTCGCGGTTGTACCCTTCCAATCAGGTTGCCGCGATGGGCGGGCGCTCGCAAGGGGGTTCGCAGCAGCGGAGCCCGTACTCCCCGCAGTTCATCACAGCCCTCAACGAGTTTGAAGACCGGGCGTGCGCCGCCCTGGGTCTTGAGGCGAACGGTGCCGGGAACGCCGCTGGCGACGAGAAGAAGGAGCGGACCGGTGGAGCGGGGTCCGCGGCTGCTGGGGCCGGGGGCTGGCTCCTCAACAGGTGAAGCATCTTGTTGGTTGTTGTTGTTGTTGGTTGTTGCTATGGTTACCTTTGTTGTTGTCGTCTTTGTTGCTGTGGTTGCCTTTGTTGTTGTCGTTGTCCTTGTTGCGGCTGTCGTTGTTGCTGCTGCTGCTGCTGCTGCTGCTGCTGTGGTTCAATTTGTCGTTGTCATGGCCATCTTCGTCGTCATTGCTATTGTTGTTGTTGCTGCTGCTGCTGCTGCTGCTGCTGTTGTTACTGCTGCTGCTGTTGTGGTTTTCTTTGCCGTCGTCTTTGGTTTGTGTTGCGCATGCGTTCGGTTCCATTTGGTGCCCGCGGGCGCGTTGTGGGCACTTGGGTGCTCGTCAGGGTTGTGTGACCCTGTTGGCATCGTATCCTTCATGATCCTGCGTTGGTCGACGGCTGAGGCGCGATAGTCGGGGTGACACGACCTCCACGCCAGCGCTTGGCTCTTGGACGTAATCCTTTCCCTTATCCCGACAAATATTCACGTGTTACCCGACATGCTACTGCTGCTACTGCTGCTGCTGCTGCTGCTGCTGCTTGCTGCCGCTCGCGCGTGACAACAGAGTTACCAACCTCGTCAAGACGTCGGCCATGCCGGGACCCGCGCCCACTCCGTCGAGATCAAGGTCATCCTCCGGGGCCTCCATGCACCAGGGACAGCAATCAGCAGCGGCGGTGGACCCGGGTCACCGCAACCCCTCCCCTCTGCAGGGGGCCCCGCCGGTCGCGACCGGCGGCGCCGGTGGAGGGTATGTCGGCCGCTCGCCGTTTGCGGGGCCCCCACGACCGGGGGGGCAGGCATCGACGGCGATGGCGGCTTCTCCATTCAAGCAGCAGCAGCAGCAGCAGCAGCAGCAGCAGCAGCAGCAGCAGCAACAGCAGCTGCAGCTGCAGCAGTTCCCGCCCATGGCAACACAGGACGCGGGGGGGTCTCCGCCGCCGCCCCTGCCGCAGCCGCTGCCACAGCCGCTGCCGGGACCACGGGGGAGGAAGGGCTCTTCGCCGCCCCTTCCCCGCGCGGCGGGAAGCCCGCCGCGTCCCCTTGCCGGCGCCGCGGCGCCGCCGACCTCGTCTTTGCACGGGCAGCAGCAGCAGCAACAGAAGTGGGCTCCCGCGCCTGCCGGTGTTGGATCTGACAGCCCGCCGCTGCCGCCGCTTGCGGACCAGCAGCATCACCAGGGCTCGTTCCAAAGCCCGCCGAGATCCGCTGGGCCGGGGACCGGGGACGGCGGCGCTATCCCCGCAGCAGCAGCAGCAGCAGGTGGGCCGTTCGGCGGCAGCGGCCGGCCGCCTCTTCCTGGCGGCGGTTCCCCCGCTTTCGGGACACCGAGCGGTGCCGGAGCCCCTCCTCCGGAAAACGCCACGAGAAGCCCCGCCGAGAACGGTGCGGGGAACGGTGCGGGGAACGGTGCAGGGCCGCCGCCCGGCGCGGGGGCTGCCGCGGTGGCCAAGAGGCTTTTGAACCGGGGGATGGGGGAAGGCGGCGGCGGCGGTGGCGGCGGCGGTGGCGGCGGAGGCCCGCCGGGGAAGGAGGTGATGCACGTGGGCAGCGCGCCCGAGCTCGGCGGGAAGGCGCGTGAGGCGGAAAATTCTACAGGGGGTAAGGTGAACGATAGCGGCGGTAGCGGTAAGGCCGTCGAGAAGGCGCCGAACAGCGAGCCTCGGAAGGGGGCGAAGGGGAAGGACATCAAGAGGAGGGCGAGCGTCGGGGGATCGGCGGCGGTGGCGGCGAAGCCCGGCCGGTTGGCGAAGATGATGTCCAAGTGGCTGTACCCGGAAGCCAAGGTTAGTGCCGTCCTTGTCGTGTGTTTGGCGTAACCACGGTGATCGCGCTCAATCAAGTGAAATGGGCCTCACGTGTGAGAGTGAAGCAACAGAAGCACCGGCGCGCGAAGCCATGAGCTCAATGCAGTGTAGCGATACCACACATAGTTTGTCGAGGACCCGAGGTTGCGTTGTCGCATGTTGTTCGAGGCAGCCTTTTTTACCGGAGAACCTCTGGCCTACACTCGCTGACACGCTCACCTGACCCCTACAGGGCAAAAAGAAGCAGTAACCCCGTCGTGTTACGTGGCGTTGTCGGTGACACCCCACAGGCACGAGAACGGTTTGCTCACACCGATCATGACGTTTTATCCCCTATTCACCCCCCATGCCCCGCAGCACGCCGACGTGGGTAACGACATGGAGGCCTACTACGACGAGAAGGCGAAGCGGTGGGTCTTCCCGGGAGAGGACCCGGGGGAAGCAGTCACAGGCCCCCCTCCTCCCCCCCCGACTGCGTCTCAGCTCGGCGGCGGCGGCGGCGGGCCGCCCGGCCCTCCGGGAGCAGCAGGCGCCGGCGGCGCCACTTCCCCGCCGAACAGCACCCCGGGACTGGACGCGAACGATCCCCTGGCGGCGTTGATGGCCCCGCCGCCGGCTTCCGTGGGTGCTCCCAGGAGACAGACGATGGGGTCGCTTCCGATGGGCGGCGGCGGGGGCGGGGGGCCTCCTCCCATGGGAGGGGGGCTCGGCTGGGCCGGGGCCGGGAGCGCGGCGGCGCGGGCTCCGTTCCCGGCGGCCGGGGCGAAGTTTACGGCGTTTGCGCCGAAGGCGCCGGTGTCTGCCTTTGGCGGCGGGGCCGGCGGCGGCGGCGGCGACGGGGGTACGGATAGCGCTGCTGGTAGCCCGCCTTCTTCGAAGCATGGATGATACTTTAAGCGGCGGGGTTTTGTGAACGAACCAATAGAATGGCGTATGGTTGTGTGCTGGATGTCCGTGGCGGTGGTAGATCTGGCTGGGTCTATCCGGGAGGGATATGTGGGACAGTGCTGTCTCCTTGGGCGTGTTCTGTGGTTTTGTCGCAGCCAGTTTAGGATGTGTGTTGGAGGAGGTTGGCCTTTTCTTTTGTTGTCCTTCGGGCGGACGCGTGATCGATCGCAGGCCCCGCCAACTCGGTGGCCTCGACAGTAAGCGCTTGTCACACGAACTGTGTCCTACGCGATTGCACCGACTTCGGTTGGTTGTGCGGCCAGCACGTGCTGTCGTCTGCCTCCTTGTCACCGTTTTATTATTTGCGCTGGGGGCTCCTCAATAAGCGGAGACCTGTAAAGTGGGGGTAAATTAACTTCCCCTTGTGTGGTTTGGCGGTGCTATGTGCTTGGCCGGCGGGAGATGTGTTCTCTCTTTGGAAACCCTAACGTACAGTGTGACCTGGTTGGATTGATCGCCGTGTTGTCCGGTAATCGCTGCACGGCAATGCATGGCGCTGCTGGTTGCAGGTCTCAATTTCTTGCTAATGTTGTGAGCTAAAAAGAGGACAGCCGCAAGAACCAACGGAAACCCCCCTGGTTGATCGGACGGAACACGCTGGGATTCTGAAGAGAGGTGCATCTATATCGCAACTAACCTCTTTGTCGTTGTTACAGTTCGGTATTGTGCAGCTTGAGAAGACGAAATACCCTTGGAAAAGAAGTGAAAACGTTATTTATTCAAGCGTCGGTTGTACATGAGACGCAGCATTTTCGGCCCCCACCTGCAGGATGGAAAAAAAATGATGTCCGCAATTCATGTGCTGCTGCTGTAGCCACACAAGCTCAACAAGCGGCGTCATCATGCCGAGATTTCTTCTACCGTTGGGATCGTTTCGAACATCAACGTTCTCAAAAACGAAAGCCCCTCTGTGTAGACTTCTTGCTGACGCGAACAATAACCAGTTATTTTCACATTATTAACCGTTTCGGTCCCTGCTCAGTACCTTTCATCATCCGTACCAGTCCAATTGACGCGAACGCTTTCCGTGGTCACAAGCCAACTACCCAAAGAGGTTACACGCTACTAGATATCAATCACGGGATAGAGAGGACCCCGAAAATCCTCGAACGCGTCACAAAAAAAACAGTGTCTATCGTTTGGAAAAAGGCTGCACGTCCAACTCTTTCCAAATGTTCCGTTTTGTACGGCCGCACAAACACAAAAACTATTCTCACCAAGCACACCTCTCTGCGTTCTTATCTTCGCTACACCATCCCCTGTCTAACACGGCACGTACATGCGTATAGCTGTTGCAAAACCTTGGGGACACAAACCACAACACGAGAGAGCGCCTATCAACACTCTCACAGCGTCCTCCGGTTCATAGCTCACCCACGGATATTGAGCACGGAGCTATGTACATAAAACAAGCAACACATCAGCTGCCAAAATACCTGCCCCATGTCCTTGGGCGATCAAAGTTGACACATCCAGCATACAACGGCACGCCCACTAGCCTTCTCCATGACAACTCCTACTTCTGCGTGGAACAGACGAAGAATTTCTACTAGTTCGGCGAGGGATATCCGCCGCTGAGCCTTGACGAGACAGCAGCGATCGTCAATTGAAGATCTGTTTCCGACCCCAGATATTCTCCTCTCCTCATGTACCCCAAAGCAAGTCGTACAGGCTTCTATGTTGCGCTTCTTGACAAAAAACAAACATGCACATGGACGACAGCAAAATGCCGTTCACAAGGCTGATGCAAGCCGAGCGAGGCTAATTAGCGCTGATGCCGCTTCTCCCGCTGCGGTGTTGCTGATACGGCAACAAAAGCAATGCGGCTCTGATATTTGGTGTGCCCGTTTCTCCGCTCCATTCATCGACAACGGAACGAAAAACGAGAGTTGAACCGCTGTTCTCCAAACGGACCGACACGGATAAGGTCACGGCTTCCTCTGATGCCTGGGAATCATGCGGGCACGGGTGGGAACACGCACGAGTCAGTGAGTAGAAAGAGCAAAAAATGAAAAAAAAGGTTCGAACATGACATCAAACACGAGGCTTTCGCGCAAAGTACAGGTACGGCCTGATCCTCAACAGTCACAACAAAAATAACGCCACGGGTTGGAGGAGACTAGATTCAGGTTCATGAGGGAGGGGCGACATCAAGCAGGAACAATACGGCTTTCGCACAGAATATAGGTATGGCCTGATCCGCAACAGTCACAACAACAGTAACGCCACCGGTTCGAAGACAGTAGACGTACAAGTTCATGTAGGAAGAGAGACATTGCCGTACGCCGAGGGTGAATGCCGAACTCCTCCATGCCAACCAAATAAATACGGTTGCTCAGCAACCCTCGATGGAGGCGGCAGAGTTAACGAGCTATGGTACGATCGTCGCTGATGCAGCTGCATAGTCGGAGCGGCAGCGGCAGCAGCAGTGGAAGCAGCAGCCACACGCAACCAATCCGTCATCACCAAGCACTCGTGGTAACTACACACACGGAACATATCCAGCCCCACAAATCAAACACCACACCATAGTCGCTTGCACCCACCTGCACAGGGCCGTCCACACCACCCCGGGTCGCCTAGCCCTTCGTCTCAGGATCGGCAGCACTCGTCCCAGCTTGGGCGCCGCAGCATTTGTCGCGGTGGTAACCTCTGCTGCGTTATCAGGGCGACGACCACCATCCCCGCTACTACTAGGCCACAGCCAGGATTCCGCGTGGACCGCCTCCACCTGCAGCAGCAAGCGGCGGATGCCCTCCAGCCTCCAGAGGCGCTGCTTGGAGATGTAGGTCCCGTCGACCTTCTTGTCCTGGAGGATGTGGACGGTGAGCTTCAGGGGGGTGCAGCTAAACAGCACGACACCCATGGAGTTCGTCCGTCGAAGCTCGGTTGTCGTGTCTGCCCCGGCCTCCACCAGCAACCGCGCCACCCTGGGAAAGCTCGACTGCTCGTCAACACCGCAGACATAAATGCTGCTCAGCAGGGGCGTCGTGCCGTTGCGATCGCGGACGTTCACGTATGCCCCGGGGCCGTAGTGCTTGGCGTGGTTCTGCAGGAGATACTTGACGGAGGCCTCCCTGCCGAGACCGGCGGAGATGGTCAACGCCTGCCCCGTATCCACCACCCCTGCGTGCGTCAACAACGCCATGGCAGCAACGCGCCGGCCCTCGCCGGCCATCAGGAGAGCAACCTCGCCGCGGCTCTGGCCCCCGCAGCCCTCGATCCCGACCCGCTGTATCAGCTCGCGCATCACCAGCAAGTTGCCGTTGCGAGCGGCCGAGTCCAGCGGGAGCAGCGTCGGCAGCGGCGCCCTGGTTATCAGCGGGTTTGCGTTCGCGCGCAGGAGCTCCCTCGTCGCTTCCAGCTGCCCTTCCGTCATCGCCCTGAACAGCGGCGTCTCCCCGTCGACCGGCGTGCGGATGTCGACGTTCGCGCCCGCGTCTATCAGCGCTCTCATCACGTCCGTGAACCCGAAGTCGGCCACGACGTGCAGCGGCGAGAAGCCCTGAGGGTCGGGCCTGTTCAGGTCGGCGCCCGCCTCTGCCAGCACCCTCGTAGCCGCGGCGTGCCCGCCCTCGACCGCCACGTGCAGAGCGGTGACGCCGGTGTCGGTCACGATGGATACGTTGGCCCCCTTGCTAAGCAGGATCCCGAGCACGCTCGAGTGACCCATGCTGGCCGCGAATATGAGGGGGGTCCAGTTGTTGACGGTGCCCTGGTTGATGTCCCAAGAACCGGTCGCCAAGAGCTCCGCCGTGCGCTCCGTGGATCCCTTGAACGCCGCGTCGTGGAGGGAATTCATAGCCCCCCGAGGCGGCTGGCGTGAGCGGCGTGTTGAGGTCATCTCGTCCGGTTGTTGCAAAGGCTGAGACGGAGCAGGAGCAGCCGAGAAGCAGGATACGGACCGCCGTGATTGGTTCTGTGCGGGGCGGTTTATATTTTTTGGTACCCCCCACCCTCCCCTGCCAGCTGTAGGGCCCCTTAAGGTAACTCTCCCGCTCCACCCTCTCCGCCACACCCCAAGGGACACAGCAACAGCTAGACCTGCCGCCTAGAGCTGTTTATCTTTCAGGGACCTACAAGGGGCTACTCCGCTCACGCTGAGCATCTGGTTCTAGTCTCCGGCAATCTCCGACCGTTGTATAGGGGGCCACAACTCTTCTCTATAGATATCCACCGCAAACCGGCATCAGCATCAGGCAGCCTCTGGGCTTGAGGACGGGACAGACTGCAGGAGGGCGAGGAAAAGCCAAAGCACAAGCGCCATGGCGGTGAGAGGACCAAACGCTCGTGGGATGTACACATCCTATCGTTAGATAGTACGCCAGTAGGCGTCTGCGGTACTGGCTCTTGTTTGATGGTGACTCTCCCTCGGTGGTCGGCGGGCGGTACATATCCGTCATGCTCCTCTCACACGCGATCTTTTACGTACATCGTCGGGACTCACTGCCTACGCTCTTTGACGCCCTCCTCTCCTCTACCCCTCCGCTACCAACACGCTCGCCCTGTTCCTGGTTTGAACCCCGTTTGGTCTTGGTGAAGTGGCTCTTGAGTCCCACATATATCTGCAGTTGATTCAAACAAAACTTGAGGTACACACGCTCTCAGCCTTCACCCGTCGCTACATACCTGCCTTTGACCAACAACTTACCCGCGGCGACTCTGTAGACTGGACTGTATGTAACTCCCGAGTGCCATTTTAGGCTGTACAGGATTGTGTTTGAGCCTGCCACGTTTCCCCACCCAACCACACCGACACAACAATTGAGATCCCGCAAACCTAAACCGTGAAAGGGCTATAACCGGATCGGAGAAGGGGACAAAGTGTCTGCGTCGTTGGCTGTCTTCCGGTTGCGTGCTACTACAGACAGATATCCGTGTTGCACATAGCGGGTCTTCACGGAGACTAAGCTTCTCCCTCGTCGAAGGAAGACTTGAGGTAGATGTGGATATCACCCTTCCTTCGGCTTGCAGTAGTAGTTGTGATAGGGCGGGTGGGCAGTACAGGGACAGTGTAACCTCTTGGCACCAGATAGAATAATCAAGTCGTTCTTTACAAACCAACATGGCGGGCGCCCCGTAAAATCATACCAAGGTAGGGCGGTTGCATCGGTGTGGCACTTTCCCGCCCTATTAGGGGGGCCACGATTGTACCAGCACTACCCGGCAGAGTCATGCCGTGTGTTTTTGTTTTTTTGGTACTACGAAATTGGCGCTTTATGACACACAGCGCTCCGTGTCTGACGGTGATATGCCTACAATAGCGGTGTTGTAGTCTGTACACCATATGCTGCGCGAGTCATCGTGCCCTAGACCGATTTTCATTCATAGCTCGAATCCTCCAGAGTTACATATCGATGTTTTGGAATACGTTGGCTCTTGTGGGTTCTCAAGACCCCCACATTCTTCCTTGTATCCCCCCCCCCCCTTCTCCCCGCAGGCTGCCGATGTGTCCCTGGGCAACACGGAGGTGCGCGACCTGACGCGAATCGAGCGCATCGGCGCTCACAGCCACATCCGCGGCCTAGGGCTCGACGACTCCCTCGAGCCGCGAGACGTGAGCCAGGGGCTGGTGGGGCAACACGCGGCGCGCAGAGCCACCGGCGTGATCTACAAGATGATCCAGGAGGGGCAGATCGCCGGCAGAGCGATCCTGCTGGCTGGGAAGCCCGGCACCGGGAAGACCGCAATCGCGATGGGTTTAGCGCAGGTAAGGTGGCGTGTTTTTTTTGTCTTGTTTTTTTTTCTTGCATAGAACACAACAAACCCATCTCTCACAGATAAAGAGTCCGTGGTAGATTCAATAGGAACGAATTTATTGTGTACGGTGACCAACTTATATTTTCTATGTTCTCTTTTTTTTCTCAACAACGATACATGGATGAGAGTCCAGGATGAACTACAATTGTAGCAATGAACCCATCGTAGCATTAGCGGAGCACTATAATACCAGCTTGGTGATTGGCAGGAGTTGGGGGTACAAATTCTGAGAGCGCAAGTGTTTGTGAAGCACAGGCAACCTACGGCCGTATGGTCCCGATAAAGCAGTTGCGACTAGAATCATAACAGATGTGGGATGGACAACGTACATTAAGAGTTTGTATAGTACAGTTTTTTGTTTTACGGAGGGGCAACAACGCTGACACGCGGGCGCGTTTTTGTCGCGGAAACCGCGGGCAGGCGTTAGGACCCGACACCCCATTCACCACGATCGCGGGTTCGGAGATCTTCTCCTTGGAGATGTCCAAGACGGAAGCCTTGACGCAGGCTTTCCGCCGCAGCATCGGGGTGAAGATCATGGAGGAGACGGAGATCATTGAGGGAGAGGTAGTGGAGATTCAGGTAAGCTAACGAAAAAAGCATGGCATTGTTATATAGCCATCTGTGTGTATGTATAGCATGGTTGTGTATACATGGTTGGTTAGGCAGTTAGTATGTAGCCCCTTAATTGCTTAATGTTCGACCGCTGTGGTCTTGGTTTGTCAAAAATACTCCGTGTGTATTGGGTTGGTTACGTTGTTTCCCTCGTCTAATGAGCTGTACAACAACGGCCATAGTTTGCTAATGGAAGATGGATTTGTTGCGTTTCTTGCAAGACAAGAAAAGTACTTCGAAGTATATATATTAATTTATCTTGGTATACATGGTTGGTTGCTTCAATCCATCAACTGATGAATGGTGCGAACATGCGGTTGTCGATTTTTCTATCCCCCCCCCAATAAACTCAGGTGGACACCCCCGTGGGAGGCGGCGACAAGACGGGGCGAGTCACGCTGTGCACCACCGAGATGGAGACGGTGTACGACCTCGGTGCCAAGATGATCGAGGCCTTGCAGAAGGAGAAGGTCTGTCGCGGCTCGCGTGTGAACCAAGTGCTGTCACGCTGTCACACCCCAGCGACTCTGGAGACTTAACTACCATTTTTGGCGCCAAGTTCTGTGTGTTGTCACGCTGTCACACCCCAGTGACTTATGGGAGAGGACCCCCTGCTAACTACACCGCGGCTATCTTCTCTGACTCTCAGCTACGGCCTGTTACAGCGTTCCCTTGGGTTTTGTTTTGTTTTGATTTGTTTTCGTAAGAAATGAAACAAACTCAAACAAACTCAAACAAACGAATTAGTTTCTCATATTTTTGTGGTCGTCTTTCATTTCAATCGTAAGAAAAGAACCGGGAAAAAAACGAATGATTTGCTCAGTTTTTTTTTTTCGTGTTGCTTCTCTCCTCTTTCTGTCTCGGAAGGTGGGTGCCGGAGACGTGATGACAATCGACAAGGCTTCGGGCAAGATCACCAAGCTCGGCCGCTCCTTCACGCGGTCACGGGACTACGATGCCATGGGCCCACAGACTCGCTTCGTGCAGTGCCCGGAGGGGGAGCTGCAGAAGCGCAAGGAAGTGGTACACGTGGTGAGTTGGTGACGGTTCGGGTTGATGGCAGGCGGCAGCGGTGGAACTTCTGTCATCTCGTCGTCGTCATCGCAGTTGCTTATTTTTTATGTTCATTTTATTCTTGACAAGGGTGATGTGTTGTGTCTACCTCAGCTTGAAGAAATACTTCTGGCCTCTGCCTGAACATCGATAGCTTGTGGTGCAAGGGGCTCCAAGAAAGCCGTGTGACAAACCTAAACTTGACACGCAAGTAGGCGAAGGCGCACACGCTCTTAGCGCGTGGGCCAATGCCAAGCCCGCAAAGAGTCGTCACTTTTTTGAAAGGCATTGATAAGCCATATCAGGAAGAAGAACGAGGGGGCCGTAAGTGTAGCCCTGGTATTGGAAACGCTGGAGGAGGTCCCCGTTTTGTCGCTCGCGAGAGTTGTACGTGAAGTCGGAGCACGATAGACGTGCGACAGTGAAACCGTTTCCGAGGTGATCTGGGGTAGTCTAGACATGTCTGGCTCGTTTCCACCAAGGAGAAACAGACCCTTGCTCTCGCTGATAAACAAGACATTGGCGAATGAAAGGCGCACTTGCACACAAACAGGTACAAAACATGGTGTTTGTACGTACCTCGCTGAAAACAAGAAACATCCACATGAAAGGCGCACGTGCACACAAACAGGTACAAAACATCGTGTTTGTTTGTGTTTTGTTTAAATTCACACCACATGTAATTGCTTTTTTTTATTATTGTGGGAGGGACATGCTGAATCGTCACTATATTTTTATTTTGTTACTGCGACTTTTGCTGCGCCGTGGAAGGTATCTCTGCACGAGATCGACGTGATAAACTCTAGGCAGCAAGGTTTCCTGGCGCTCTTCGCCGGAGACACGGGCGAGATCAAGGGAGAGGTGCGGGAGCAGATCGACCTCAAGGTGGCGGAGTGGCGGGAGGAGGGGAAGGCGACCATCGTCCCCGGGGTGCTGTTCATCGACGAGGTATGAGTGTGTTTTGGCCTGTTTTTTCGGACGAGAACACAAGGTTAGGGTCAGAGCCTGTTGTTGTTATTTGTTGTCTTGACATTATAAACCGTTCCGATCTTTCTATCCAGTACCCCCTCCGTCTGTCACTTGACGCGGTGGATTCTGTGGTCACAGGCTGACTTACCCTCAACAGTCGAGTCTATGATTTTGGGTGACTTTCTGCTGCCGTGTCGACGGGCATATGCTGGGTACGACCATACGCACATCTCCCGGGACTGCTATATTCTACTGTGTCCAGGTGCACATGCTGGAGAAGTACTTGTACTTGAGCTTCGTGTCTTTTGTTTTTTTTCTTGTCCAGGTGCACATGCTGGATATAGAGTGCTTCTCGTGGCTCAACCGCGCCCTCGAGAGCCACCTCGCGCCGGTGTTGATCATCGCCACCAACAGAGGCATCGCTAAGATCCGGGGGACCAATTACAAGAGCCCCCACGGCATTCCAATCGACCTCCTCGACAGATTGATGATCGTGTCGACGGTAAGCGTTGTTGTTGGTGTCGTCTTGCCCTTTGAGCAGCATCTTCTCGTCTTGTTTGTCGTGCAGACTGCGTGCATGCAGCAGACAACAAGGCGATCGAGCTTCTGACATGTTTTTTTCAGTGTTTTTTTTTTTTTTTCCGTCGAAGACACGAATCAAGCCATGAAGCCTTAAGCAACACACGTAGGCTCTGACCCTGTTCCCTACCGCTGTTACTCATGTTCTTCTCCCTAACGTGCACATTTTCTTGCACCGTATTCGGCGAGTGCAATCCACCCGAACGATATGTACCCTCACGTTGACGTCAATATTCCCGGCGGGACCCTGTTACTGTCGTTGTGTTGCTGTCCCTGTTCTTGACGTGCAGGTTGCGTACAGCGAACAGGAAGTGAAGAAGATCCTGTCCATTCGGTGCGAAGAAGAGGACGTCGAGATGGACGACGACGCCATCATTCTCCTCACCAAGTACGTGGCCTCTTTTTCTTTTGGTTCTTCCCTCGGCTGGGTTATCTACGTAGACTTTCTCGGAGCCACCACGTCTCCGGGCTAGTATTGCTCCAGACAACATACATCCAACGCAAAGCTGTGGAGTATTGCTCCAGACAACGAACACCCAGCAGTACCGGCTGAGTATTTGTCCAGACAGCAAACTCTCAGGATGTCAAGTCACGTATAGGTGACATGGGGGAAGGAAAGGGCAGATGATTGTGTGGGTAACAACACGATATATGACTCCGTACATGGTTCACCTGAGTTCGGCGCTAGAAGCACCATTTTTTTGCTGTACCATCCTCTGAAGAGGTCAGCGGTAGCCATGATGGACCCATTGAAGAGGCCAAGAGCTGCATTCAACTTCTCTGAGCGGTGCTGGTTTCTGCTCCTCGCCCAGCGCATTCATTCTTGTTTAAACGCGCTAGGGCATGCAAGAGCCTGTGTACCCCCCATAGTTCGTGCCGTTAGCACCAGTTTGTGTTGACAGAGGTGGTTTCGCCGAAGTTTTTATTATTTTTTTATTTCATTGATTGAATGTTGCGCATGTGAATGTTAACGCTGAAAGTTTAAGAGTTTATCAGTTTCTCGACACGCGGTTTTAACCGAAGCGTTTTTTTTTTTTTTTTTCGTTTACAAAACGAGTCGGGATGTTTCTCACGAAAATTAAAAAGAACGCTTACCTCATGCAAAACACGACATGCCCGGTTACGATGGGACTCCCCCCACCTACTCCCTGTTGTTCCAGACGAAGAGTGAGTGCGGTACGTGTGGCGCTCCTTATCGGTAGAAACGACACGTTTTATCTGCAATTTTCCCTCAGGAGTGACTCTGCTAGGAAACAGTGAACCGTGGTGTTTCAAGCATGGCCTAAAATGCCAGTCGAGTCCGTAGCTATTCCCTCCTCCAAGCCTGCCGAACCACTCACAATCTACCGTGCACATATATGCGCCACGACCGTTGGCGCCGGACACTTTGACGCGTCCACAGGATAGCGATGGAGACATCGCTGCGGTACGCGATCCACATGATCATGGCGGCGCAGCTGGTGAGCACCAAGCGCAAGGGTACCCAGGTGGAGATCGAAGACATCAAGAAGGTCTACTCCCTCTTCGTCGACATCAAGCGTTCGACGCAGTTCCTCATGGAGTACCAGAAGGTAGGTACATACCTACGGCCGCGTTTGTCTTTTTTTGTTTGCTGTGTTTTCCGTGGCGGCGGCGTCTTTCATTTTTTTGTGTTATTGTTCTTGGCTATCTTGTCCGTGTCGTCTTAGTCTCGACGGCTTCTTGCTCGACGGCAGCCCGATGATTCGGCGTTTTTTTTTTTTTTTTCCATCGTTTCGTCAGAAAGGGTTAAAATATACCACGCCAAGCGCTGAAAGCCTTCATGCCAAGGTTTGACATGCCAAGGTTTGAGAAGCTCAGGATGGGCCTAGTAGGCATGCTCTTGTACGGTTTGTCCTGCAGATGTGTACTCCATCGTGTACGAGTTTCCTCCCGATAAAAAAAGGCGTATTTAGTCACCTTCTGAATTCGTTCTAAACTGTGCCGTGCACGAGCAGGACTTCATGTTCAACACCCTGGGGGAGGAAGACGACGAAGATTCGGAGGAGGAGGAGGAAGAAGAAGAGGAGGAGGAAGAGGAGGGCATGGACACGGCAGCATGATCAAGCGATCGCTAACCGTTACCCAACGAAAGGCGGAGCTTAGGGCGGGGATACGAACACGAATGATGATGATCAACCCTCATCGCGCTGTTGCCATACACTGAGGCTGAGCCGAAGGCAATGGGTTTGTAAATGTAGGCGCAGAGACGGCTGCGTGTGTAGATTATGTGTTAGGCCAGCCGGTGTCGCCGTGGTTATCGCTGCTCTATGCTACCCTTGGTAGGGCGCGGCAGCATGGGGAAGAACAAGGGTGGGGCCTAAGTTGTCAACAATCTCTCTCTGGTATGGGTGGGTGGGGGGGATACTCTTATGTTTTGCATGGCTCAGCGGTTTGACCGTTGACCACGCGTCCTCGAGAGGACGGAGCATTGTTCCCACAGGGCCGATCACCGATGGCGAATCTTTCCTCCTTATGTTGCCAAAGGTGGCTAAAAAACGTTTTCCCTAGTTTGGGGGGGGGGGGCGGACTCATTTGTTGCTTGCCGGAATCATTTGACCATTGACCCCGGGGGGGGGGGGGGGGGGGGAAAAAAGGGGGAAAAACCCCCCCCAAAGGGGGGGGGGTTTGGGGGGGCCCCCCCCCCCCCCCCGGTTTGGGGGAAAAAAAAAACCCCCGGTGGGTGGGTTTTGG